GTAAAACAGAGGGGTAATAATACCTCAGAGAGCTGCTGTGAGGATCAAAGGGTCTATGAGAAAGGCTTTATAGACATTAAAACATTGTCCAGATGGCAGAGTTCTACTGTCATTATCTGAGATTCTTCCCAACAGAATAATAGCTAACACTTCTATAGCTCTTACTGAGCCAGGCACCGTGGTAAGCACTTCACAAGGATTAACTCATTCGATCCTCACAGCAGCCCTGGGAGGGAGGTGTTATTATGTGTCCATTTTATTGAGGAGGAAACTGAGGCAGACAGTGGTTGAGTGACTTGCCCAGGGTCATACAGCTAGGACGTATCTGAGGCCAGATTTGAACTCATCTTACTCCAAGCCCAGCACTTGTGGTACCACTTAGCTGCCCCATCCCTACAATTCTATCCAATGTGAATCTATCCAATGACGCCCCTGCTCGTCACTGAGAAATAATTACAGATCTTAAGTTGATGATCCTTTCAGTTGTCCTTTTTGCCCCTTTCCTAAAGGCAAGGAAGGGGCATGTCTTTAGGCTAGTTCTTAACATGGACCCAACCATCCTGAGCTTCTGACCAGAGGCCTCTTCCTTCCCTCCTCAACTTTGAATCCATCCAACTGACTTCTGGTCCATCCAAGGCCCTCGTCCTGTTATGATCACAGAATCACATTTCTAGAGCTGGCAGGGACTACAGAGGCCATATAATCCAACTCCCTCATTTGACAGGAAGAGAAACTGAGGCCAGGGAGGCTAAGGGACTTGGTCAACACCCCAAGGCAGACAGCATCAGAGAGGCAGGATTCCAATTCCAGCCTTCTGTCTCCAGATCCAGAGATTTCCCCCATTTTACCATAATGCCCCTTTCTGGGCTCCAAGGACCCCTAGATGTCCCTCTTGAGCCTGTCTAATAAAGCTCTGACCTTTGCCTTCTCCCTTTCAGCCGGGCTGTTGGCCCAGGGACAGTATGACGTCGACCCTGAACACATCCAATACACACATTATGGGGACCAGATTGGTGAGTGGAGGCCGTGGGATGAGGCTGGGGGCCTCCGAAACCTCCACCCGGCCCGGCTGTGGCTCCGAGGATCTTGAGGTTGGAAGGGACCCAGAAGGCGTCTCATCCATCTCCCACCTAAAGACTCTCCCTACAGCATCCCCAAAATGTAGCCATCCAGCCTCCCTTTGCAGGGACAGGCAGCCCTTTACCTCTCAGGGCAGCCCATCTCCCTTTGGGCCTGGTTGTTAGGAAGCTTTATGTTACACCAAGCCCAAATCTTCCTCTTGGCAACAAACCCCGCTGGTCCTCGCTCTTCCCTCTGGGTCCAAGCAGTGTAGGTCAAACAGAATCCTTCACTTGAAGGCTGCTGTCATACACCTCTTTCACTGGTTCGATATCCCTGGCTCTTTCTCCCAGTTTTTCTTCTGTGCAAAGTGCAGACCCTTCCCCCTTCTTCGGGAGTTCCAGCCCAACCTCCTCCACTTTCAGACACCTTCCCCTCTAGGTCTCTGCCATGAGCCTTTTGCATTAAAGGCCCTGGAGGGTGGACAAAGTCGTCCACTCTGGGTTGGGACTGGGGGGTCTGTTTCCAGGGTTCCCCAGTTTAGCACAGGGGCCCACACATTGCCTATCTAACCCCCTTCCCTTCTCGCCCATCCAGACAATCCCGAGTACTACGATTACCAAGGTATGGAGCTGACCAGAAAGGGGGCTGAGGTGGAAGGATGAGGGAGGGGGCTGAGCGGCAGGGGCAGGGGGAGGGGAAGCCAAAAGGCCACCTGCCCATTTCCTCCTTGGCAGAGTCCACCCACCGCCCCCCAGAGGAACAGCTACAGTACCAGTCTCAGCAGCAGGTTCAGCAGGAGGTGATCCCAGCCCCCACCCAAGGTAAGCCCCTGACCCGGCTGGCCTGTCTCCCCTGCTTCAAGCCTTCTTGCATGTTCCAGCCCTTACTTTCTTCCCCCTCCTCCCTCATCGAGAGAGGGGATTGTTTCATTCTTTGCTGTCACTGTCCAGCACATAGTAGGTGCCTACTAAGTGCTCATTGATTGACAGTACAGTACCATACATGTTAAAGCTCAATAAATGTTTGCTGAATAAATGAATGAATGCTCTGGCTGCCCTCCTTGTCCTTCTCCCATGTCGTCCTGCCTCCCCCTTCTCCAGGCCTCAGTTTCTGAATCTGTCAGAGGGGCGGTGAGTGATAACTTCTTGGGTCTCTAAGGAGACTCTCTCTTCATGCCTTCTGCTGTCTCTCCCCTCACAGAAATCCCAGAGACAGAGCCCACGGAGCCTGGACCACTAGGTAAGAACCCGGGCAGTCTCCCTCCACCCACTCTGCCCAAGCTCAGCCTGGAGAAGGCACAGAGGGGACCTGGCCCCACCCGGCATAACAGAAGGTGGCGGAACCCAAGGGGCCTAGGGGAGAGGGAGGCGGAGGCTCCGAGCCTCCGCCTCCCTCACACTCCCTTGCTTCTGTCCCCTAGACTGTAGGGAGGAGCAGTACCCCTGCACCCGCCTGTACTCGATCTACAAGCCCTGCAAACGATGCCTCAATGAGGTGTGCTTCTATAGGTGAGTGGCATGGGGAGGGCACAGGAGGGTGGCACCTCAGACCCCCCCCCCAGGCTTGGGGTCTTGGGCCCTTTAGCACTTGACTCAATGCCCCCAGCCATCTGCAAGGGTGCATGGGTAATGTATGCCGGCCTGGGGGGAGGGGCATCACTGGATGGAAATGAAGCCTCCCCATTTCTCCTCCCCCATTCCTCAATTCCCAGCTCTCGCCGAATGTACGTTATCAACAAAGAAATCTGTGCGCGAACTGTCTGCGCCCATGAGGAGCTGCTCCGAGGTAGGAGGGGGGCCCTGAGGCCCACAAAGACTCCCTTCCCCCGTCCCCTGCCCGCCCCCGGTCCAATGCAGGGTTTGGAGGTGAAGGGGTGGGGAGTGACTGGGGAGCCCTGCCCACACTGGCCACCAGATCAAAGTCAGCTCCAGGTTTGTATTGGTTCCTGGGGCCTCACCCCTTCCCTGGTAGCAGGGTCAGTGTCAGCCCAGCCGCTCAGTGCGGTCATCCCGGGGCCCAGCTTGACCCTCTCCCCTTCACCCTCTTTAGCCGACCTGTGCCGTGACAAGTTCTCCAGGTGTGGTGTGATGGCGACGAGTGGCCTGTGCCAGTCTGTGGCTGCCTTCTGTGCCAGGAGCTGTGGGGGCTGCTAGTGGGAAGGGGGCACAGGGAGGGAAGCCGGGCCTAGCCGAGGGCCAGGGGACCTCCAGGTGCTTGAATCTAGGCCGGCAGGCTTGGGTGGGGGTGCTGCGCTTGATTCTGTTGTGTGGTTAAAAAAATAACTGGTTTTTAATTCTCTTTCCTTTTTGTGTGTAAGCGGACTTAAGTGTAGGGATTGGGAGATGAGCCCACAGCTACCCCTGGGAGGGTGGGGGAGGGCACTTTCTCATGGAGTCCCAGGTGTCAGCGGCATCAAGGGTTGGAAGGGACAACAAGGCCATAAAGTGGAGGGAGCATTAGGCTTGGTGTTTGAAGACCTGGGTTCCAATCCTACCCCAGATTCTTATTAGCTTTATAACACTAGTCAAGTCACAACCTCTCGGTGCCTCAGTTTCCTTATCTGTGAAATGAGTTGGACGTGATGGCCTCTGAGACCCCTTCCAGCACTAAGCCTGTGAGCTCCCCCAGACTTGTAGACCTGCAGCAAAGAAGGCACCCCCCCCCAAGGCAGCCCATTCCACTAGAGGTGTCCCATTTTGGGAAATTTCTCTTTTCACCAAACTAAAATCTGCCTGTCTGTGACTTGCCCTCACGAGCCTAGTTTTGCCCTCTGAGGCCAAGCAGAGCACGGCTAATTGCTCATCCACTTTGTAGCCCTTCTGAAACTTGAAAATAACTACCCCCCCCAAAGCCTTCTTATCTCCTGGCTCAACACCCCCCGGCTCCTTCACCTGACCCTGCAACAGCTCGGTTCCCGTCCCCTCGATCTTCTAGATACCCTCCTTCGGCATTAGCCTGCAGGAGGCATTTCAGCTGGAGCAAAGGAGGGGCTTGGGGTACGATGCCTGCTGCTCCCTGGTCACTCCCTATACTTGGTGCTCACTGATACCCCACCCGTTTCCACCAAAGTAGGCCCTCGGGCAGGTCCCCTCTGCTCTAGGTTGGACGTACTGTAGTGGGGTGTCAGATCATATATATTTTTTTTTGTACAAAATAAAGAATTTTTCAAGAAAAAAAAAGTTACCCAAGTTTGGGATCAGTATGTTGGGGGAGAAGGGTAAGGCTGAATCTGCCTTTTTCTCCTTCTGGGGGCTGCAGAAGGGTGGGGGAGGGGAAGGCAGTGTGAAGAACTGTATAACAATAAAAATAACAATGATTCTACAGGCAGTGGAGTGGAGAGTGCTGGCCTGGGCATCAGCAGGGACCTGGGTTCAAATCCATCCTCTAATGGGGGTGAGTGGAGTAAGCTGGGGGAATCAATCAATTCATCTTGGAGTCTTTGAGTGTGTGTATATACACATATATACATGCACAAATATACCTCCTTACCCATACAGACATACACAACATACAAATGGATATGTATATAGACGTTATACACACACACACACAGATATAACATGCACACATACAATATACATACACATACCTGTACAAACACGTACACACATATACATGCACACACACTGTACAGACGTGGTCGGCTGTTGTCCTTCGGTCGCAACGAGGACTAAAACGACATCGCTGCTAGAGTCAAGCTTTCGGCGTCCGACTGTGGCCAATCAGACCCATGTGAGCCTAGAGGGCTCTGCCACAGGTCGGGCACAAATAGTCCATGTGAACACTTGGGATGGATTCTCTACCTCTGCGCATCCTGCATTTCCTTTGCTTTGCTCACGGAGCACGGCACCTTCTCCGATGTGGGCATGCCATGTTGGGCGGTCCCATGCCAGTGTCACACAACCAATTCCAAAGTTCTTCAGAGAGACCTTGAGAGTGTCCTTGTATTGCTTCTTTTGACCTCTGTGTGAGTGCTTGTCTTGGGAGAGTTCTCCATAAAATAGTTTTTTAGGCAAACGTTTGGTATGTTTGGTAATCAAACAACGTGGCTGGCCCACTGGAGTTGCGCTGTCTGCAGTAATTTGAATGCTTGGTAGTTCAGCTCAAGAAAGGACCCCAGCGTCTGGGACCTTACCCTGCCAGGTGATCTTCAGAATCTTCCTAAGACAATTCAAATGGAAGCGATTCAGTTCCTGGCATGGCGCTGGTAGACTGTCCAGGTTTCACAGGCATACAACAATGAGGTCAGCACAGTGGCTCTGTAGACCTTCAGTGTGGTAGTCAGCCTAAGACCTCTTCTCTCCCACACTTTTCCTTCGGAGCCTCCCAAACGCTGAGCTAGGTCTGGCAACGCGTGATTCAACCTCATTATCAATGTGTACATCCCTGGAAAGTACACTGCCAAGGTAGGTGAACTTATTGATAGCATTCCAAACTTCTCCATGTAAGGATGGTGTGGCGCTGGCTGATGGAGCACCTGTGTTTTCTTGGTGTTAATTGTTAGGCCAAAATTAGCACAAGCAGCAGAGGATCGATCCATACTTTGTTGCATCTCAGCTTCAGAGGCTGCATTGAGTGCACAGTCATCTGCAAACAGCAAATCATGCACCAGTGCTCCCTCTACTTAGGTCTTGGCTTGTAGCCTTTTCAACTTGAAGAATTTACCATCAGTGCGGTAGCTGACCTTCAATGCTGTGTTCCTCCTCGTTGAAAGCATTTGCCAATGTGGCTGAAAACATCACACCTATACACATATATCTACATATACAGATAAATATATACATAATATATAGACATATGCATACAGACATATACATGCCTACAGACACAAACATACACATAAATAGATACACATATACAGACAAATACACACATATACAAACATGCATACACATACATACAATATACATATAGACACATGTATACACAAAAATATAAACAAATATAAACACTATATGAATATGTATATATACACACACATGCTACATGCACGCACGCACACACACACACACACACACACACACACACACACAGGTCAGACAGTAAAAGAGACTGGCCCAGAGTTGGCAGGAGGCAGTGCTAAGTCTGGACCCTGAACCCCTGGGCCCTGGTTTGAGAGCTGAGCTCTTTCCTCTTTGTCCCCTGCACAATGCGTAAACTGGCAGCTCCCTCCTCCCGAGCACATTTCTAGCTGTTTCTCATTCTGTTCTCACAACATCTGGGGAAGAGAATGGGCAGGCCAGGAGTCCTTGATCCCATTTTACGGATGAAGAAACAGGCTCAGAGAGTGGAAGGCAGCCAAGGTTACACAGTGAAAAGTTCATGGCCAAGCCAGGGCTAGAACTCAGGCCTCTTGAATCCATGGAGGCTTTTCACCATAGGAAGTTCCTCTCCACTTTCTCGTGCCAAGAAGGCATGAACCTCCCCTCCTACTCAGAAATGTGCCCATTTCTAAGCCTCCCCTAAGGACCACTGAGAAGCTGTTTCCATCTTAGGAGCCCAGGGAACCAGGAAGGGTACCACACCCGCTCCTTTCCACCTCATTTTTCCCAATTTAAGTTAAGGGGGTCTGTGATAACAGACAGGTCCCCCGACCCTAGAAGAAAAAAAAACAATAGGAAACAGGTTTTTTTCTTCTCATGTGGTATTTTTTCCCCTCAAAGAAACACAGGTAGGTTTTTTCCTTAAAAGGCATAAGAGCCACAGGCCCGTGGGGCCACGCTTAGATGTTCTCTGAGAGGAAGCCAATGGAGATGACTGTCGGAAATTCTGGGAAGAGGCCAGAGTCACCTGGCAAGGGGGGGTAGGGAGCAGGGAGCGGAGCACTGAATTGAGGGTCCTCCCCCATCCCAAACAAAGTGACTCACAACCCCTGACTCTGGGCCTAATGGGCTCGACCCACAGGCAGGGGAAGCTGACCTTGGTACCTCGGTGGGGGGCTGGAATCCAGCCTCTGCCAGCAGCCCAGCTGTGGAGAGGGAACAGTCACAGAATCACATGATCTCAGAGCCTGAAGGACGTCAGGGCCCATCTGGACCAACCGGACCTGAGCAGGGGTCCCCAGTACAATCCCCCCACCCTGGTCATCCCACCGCCTTTGCTGGGATCCCTCCAGTACTGGGGAGCATCTCCCAAGGCAGCCCAGGCCACTCTGACTGGTGGTTAATGTTTCTTGAACCTAAATCTCTGATTCTGCTTCTTATTCTGCCCTCTGCAGCCAAGCAGGCCGCGGCTCCCCCTCCTTTCCCACCCGCCGTTCTTCAGTGCCCAGGCCCTGGCCCGTGGTCCCCCAGTGCCCCTGTAGAGCTCTGGGGCAGCTGGGCCGGGGCAGGCCTAGCGCCAAGGCAGCGTCCAGGTCCAGGGTGAGGATGGGGGCTCGGCGGCTGCCCAGGCAGGAGGGGGCTCAGTTTCCAGAGGGGGCAGAGGATGAAGAGGATGGAGAGAAGCCCTGGGGGACCCTGCGAAGTTCCTGCTGCAGTCGCTCCTTCAGGGTGGAGATCTGTGGGGAAAGAGGATGGAAAGCGTTAAGGACATCAGCAACACCAGCTCCCATTTCTAGGGTGCGTTTGGGGGCCTTCTCACCTGGTAATGTCCCCAGCGGTCCCCTTCTCCCGTTGGTGAATGCCGCTGTTCTGGGGCGCGGCCCATCCTTCATTCTACTCCCGGACTGGCCGCTGACTCCATCCCCCCAACCTTCCCTCTCCTCCCCTTTTCGGCCTCCTTTTCCAATAGAATATAAGGTAGGGAGGGCAGGGGCCGTCTTTCTTTGTATCTGTCCCCAAGTGCCTGGTACACAGTGCTTTTAGCTATCATTTAACACAGCCTAAGGTGCTGTACATATATTAACTTATGTGATCCTCACAAGAGCCCTGGGAGGTAGGTGCTACCATTATCCCCATTTTACAGATAAAGAAACTGAAGCTGAGAGAGATTGAGTGCCTTGTCCCAAAGTCGCACAGCTAGTGAAGTGTCTGAGGCAGGATTCAAACTCAAGTCTTCCCAACTCCAAGTTCCTCCCTCCATACTCTGGGGCACCCAGCTTGCCTGTGAGTGCTTAATAAATGCTTGTTATCTGCCTAATCCCCCCACAGAGCCCCTTCCTTACAACTACCCTATAAAGGAAGCAGTGTAGGGGATATTACCCCCACTTTGCAGATGGGGAAACTGAGGCACAGAGAAGGAGATGGCTTGATTTGAGACCCAAGCCCTTTCAGCTACACCAAACCTCATGGGGAGGGGAAGGGGCTCGGTTTTACCCAGGACCCTCAAGGAACATCCGAAAGAAGAAAGCAAATAGCTGTCAGCCCTGCTGGGAGTCCCTGGGATGGGCAAGCTCCAATACATGCCCAGACGCGGTACCTTCACCCAGCTGAAGGCAATGATGGCCTCCTGGTCAGAAGAATAACAGCTGGAGGGATAATAAAGCACCTTCTTCCCAGCATCCTGGAGAGGTAGGTAGTATAGGGCTCTATAGCCCCATCTTACAGATGAGAAAGCCGAGGCTCAGAGTGGTTACAACGTCATAGAACCAGGATTGGAAGCCAGGTCTCCTGACTCCAAGTTCAGTACATCCCAGGACAGTCCTAGCCTCTGCCCCTGCTGCACTCACGTGCTCCTCGAGGCCACGAATGCGCTGACGGTGAATGCGCTCCCGCGCCTCCATGGTCCTCTCGGCCTGGGCCTGGGCCCCTCGCAGCCGCTCTAACTCCTGCTGCAGCTCCAGCTGTGTCTGTCCCCCCGTCTCCAGCAGGCACTGACCCTGTTCCATCTCTAGCAGCTGGGCCTGGGGAAAAGGATGGGAAGGGAAATGAAGGCAGCCCCGCAGAAGGAGAGGAGACCAGGACAGGGCCAAGCTGAGGTTTCCAGGCCAGAGGAGAGAATGTCAACGGAAGAACTTCTAGAAAGAAACTGTCGTGCCAAGGGACCCTGAAACCATGAAGGAGTTTCTGCCCTTCCTATGGCCGGCCCCCTTATCTGATGTGCTCTGCCCACGACCTCCCAGGTTCGTCTTCTGTGCGGCTCAAATTCTATTCTCTTTAGGAGACCTTTAACAGCCTGCCAGCTGCTGGTGCCTTCTCTGAGATTACTGTCCTTCTACTCTGTCCTTATCCTATATGATACATGTAAATATATATACATATACATATATATATATGTATATATATATATATATATAATTATAT